TTTTTAATTAAATATATTTCTTATTTTTTTATAAAGTCTTTATTTGTAAAACAAGTTGAGGCTCTTAAGTCTAACAAGGCAAAGGCTTTGTGATTTTTTGGTCCTAAATAAACTTCTATTATGAAATAAGATGAAGAATCTAAAATAAGAATAGGAACTTCACTAAGTATTATGTAAGATTTTAGCCACATGGTTTCTATTATAGGTAGAAAAACTTATTTTTTGATACCTTGTCTTCTTTGGCAACCATGATCTTTATTTTTTGATTGCATTGCTTTTTTAGATAGTGTTGAATAGTATTGTAGAATATGTAAATAAATTTTGTGCTAAGTTACTGGTTGGTTATTAACAACCTTGAGAATTAGACTTATAGTTAGGCAGTTTAGTTGGTAATAGTAGGTTGTTACTGGAACAAATGGTTAAGAATTCAAAGGGTCATAACCTTTGGAATCTGTTGGCCAACGGTCCATCTTTTGGTAGAATAAAGAGGTTGAGAAAAGAGAGATCGGGGCTAGATTGTGAGAGTCGTAAGTCGAGGGGCCAGACTATGAGAGTCGTAAGCTGGGGGGCCAGATTGTGAGAGTCGTAAGCCGAAGGGCTAGACTGTGAGAGTCATAAGCTGGGGCAAGCTTGGTCCTACATCTTTTTGTTTCTTTATTGTTGACAAGTAATGGATAGTTTCTGAATACTGAGAAGTTAGTCTACAGTGCTAGACTATAAGAGTCGTAAGCCAGAATATTGAATTTTGTGTGATGAATTGAAAAACTGAATATAATAGGTAAGCAAGAGATTAGTAATTGAATATATATAAACTACAAAGAGAGTAAGTGGGAGATGAACGGATAAGAATATGGAAGTATTGTTGAATTGATAGTCATAGAATGGATTATGTGTTGAATTAAGATGGAAGTAGTAAGCCTTGGTGTTTTGTAGTTTGATAATTGATTTCAAATAGCTCGAGTACAGTCAATTGTGACACTAACAAACCCAATTTATATAACCAGTCTTTCCCCGTGTTCGAATCCACCTCTATTAATTCAATTGCTTTGGTATAGTGAAACTTGAATACAACAAGAACAACAAGTATGCTTAGATTTTCTATAATACAAGTATTAATCTTCTTAACAACAACAAGTATTTTTTTACTTAATAAGAGATTTAAAATGTACCGTGTCAATTTATATAAGCTTTGACTTAGATGAATAAGCTTCCAAAAACTTAAAAGATATCACTATAGCTTCATTTTTACCTCCTAATCAAATCATTTTTGTTACCATCTTTTAAAGTTTTGATTATTACATGCATTGGCTTGAGCAATAAATTACTCTAATAAATTTTTTTCTGGTATTATTAATAGTAAATCTTTAATATTATCTTTTGTTCTATATCAAAATTGATTAATATGGACTTTGTCATTTCAATCTACATTATAAGCAAAATTTTAGAATTTAGCAACATGTATAGTAGTTGAATGTGATTCTTATCATAGAAATACAAACTTGGTCTCTGATACACTTTCTTGATCACTTTCTCCAAATGTAGTCATAACAACTTTTAAGAATGAATTCAAATCATAGAATAATTAGAAATCTTTTTCCACCAAAAGTGCAAACTAAGAAAGAGTAATCTTAGAAAAAAGTCATCTTATGAATCCGACTTGAATAGATCTATCAAGGTAATAAGAAAAATATAACTTTAGATAAAACTTTATTTGTTGTAAAAATTCTCAAAACTTTGAATTTATACCATCAAACTTCTTTTACATGCTTATCATTGCCTCCCTTATACTTATAATAATAAGATTCTTTGTTTTCAATTGTGAACTTGATCTACTTGCTTTTCTTGACTGCACAACTTTTTAGTGCAGACTTTGAATTTCATTATTGACTACTTTCATGGACATAAGAATAGTACTTCTATGATTCACATTAAAAATACATGAGATTTTTATGCTAAAAGTGTTGATAAGCTTGTAAAGATCTACAATAGTTGCAAATCTAATCTTATTTCTACTAAGAATAGTATTTGTAATTTTTTCTTCTATAAACAACTTGAAAAAATTCAAAATATTAAATTAAAGGAATATAATCTATAATCTTAAATATCAATTGAAAATTTCTATAAAAAAAGGTAATTCAATTTTTTTAAAGAAAAAAATTAGTAATAAAAAACTATAAGTTAGTTTAAAGGTAGGTGGTCTTCAACTTTCAAATACAACAATAGAAGTAAAATAATCTATTTACTTCTAAAAGAAAATAAAAATAATGGATTAAGACTCTTATCAAACTATCAAGGATATGAATCTTAAAAAAAGATGAAACTCAATATATATTTTTTTTCACTTAAAAAGACTAGAAAGTCATTCAAAGATGGTAATATATTGAATTAAAATAGCTATTGTTAAAGATAAGAAGAGTAAAAAATCTTGAAATAAGACTAAAGACTAAGAAGGCATTGGCAAGAGTGAAGAAAGCTTCACTTTTACTTCTATATATACTATCTAACTACGAGCTACATGGTCATGTACTATAAGACTACTAACATATGTTGACTTTGTAAAACACATGTTTTAACTTGCAAGATAAGTTTCTTATATGCACGCCACATTATTAGCTTATATAATAAGCTACCAACATATGGCTAGTTTATTGACCAAGTTTATAACCTACTAATCAACTACAAATATGTATGAAATCAAATATATATCTATAAAGCTTTTAAGAAGCTTAACTACAAGATAATATCAAATCTATCCATATTTTTTTTTTAATCTAATACTTTTTATCTAGGTAAATATGTATATCAGTGACAAAATCCGGCCATGTTGTTATGATCGATTATAATACCATAGCTTCTTGCACGATATTCAAACTATGTAAAATCAAATACCAAAGATCAAAGATTCTTTTTCTTATAATTGCTTGTGAAATTATCCTGATAGCTTAGCTCATTGATAATAGAAGTTTTTGGGTGGAATTATAATGATTGAAAAGATGGGATAATCTCCACTTTAGGAGGTTCAAGATAGGAGATAGTAGTGGTGGCTTTGTAGCTATCTTCTATGAGCATTTCTATAATATTGACATCTTCTCTAATAGTAGTGACAAAGATTAGCTTATCCACAAAATGATGGATATACATGCACCCACTTTGATATAAATATCCAATATTTAATAAACTTAAACAATAATAAGAAAATTCAAATTGTTATTGTATTCTATAATTTTTTTGTTTGCTTCCTATAATTCAGCATTATTCTTAGAGAATCAACTAGAGTTGGAGTTCTTGTGTAATGGAGTCAAATTCAAATGAAGCTTCTTATAATTAAATCATTTTTTTACCAAATAGACTCTAATTTATTCCATTTCCTAAAAAAATTTATTATTTTGTAGCAAACTGATTGCAAGTGGTACAAACAATGAAACTAATATCAAATAGTTTAGTCAACTTTGATATCCAATTTTCTAATTCAAAATTGGAGTTGATATTAGGTGACTTTGTTATAGACAACTCAACCTCATTGGTATATGGAGCTTTGTAATTTACTACTAACATGCTTTTATTAACCAACTCTTTGATTGATATTGTAGGTACTCTAAATGAATTCACAATTGTAACTTTAGTTGTTGAAGCAAGCAATTTAGCATGTATACAAGTGAGCAATGGATTTGTTCTATTTCCTCTGTTGCTTCATTCCTTAGGTCTTTGTTGATGGCAAAATCCTATGTGATGATCCTTAATTGTGTATTGCTATCAAATTGATATACTTGATATGGAGATTATTTGGTGCAATGAGTATTTTTCATGAATACATATCTCTATACCTATACATTGCCAAGAATAAAAAGAGGCAAGTTTTTTAATAGCCAAAAAGTGTAGAAAGGGTTGTGATAAATTCTATAGGCTTATAATTTGAGCCTTAGTTGTACTTAAAAAAATACAATTGTGATAGCTTATGACATGCAATAGTAGATTTGATATTATGACAAAAGTAGGAGATATATTTACTATTATTAAGAATATATGGATATTTTTGATATTTTAACATATCTGAAGGATATATATATGATATTTTTTCTAAAATTTAAATCTTAAAGTGGATTTTAGTCTTCTATATTACATACTTATATTATATATTTTTTGAAACTAAATTTCATCTTTTCTTGTTTTTTGAATACTTGTATTATATATTTTTTGAAACTAAATTTCATCTTTTATTGTTTTTTGAATACTTGTATTATATATTTTTTGAAACCAAATGAGACAAAGTTTATAAAGCCAAGTTTATAAATTTTGCATCATAATATTAATGATCCACTTGTGCCAATTTACAACTAGAAATGCTTTCTAATATTATAAAAGGTGATTTCTATAATTTATGTTTAATAAAAAATAAAAATAAAAATAGCATAGCAAAAAAAATAATTACATGAACAATAGAAAGTTTTACTTATGATATATATATGTATGTGTGTGTGTCTAGAATTTATATAGTTAAATGATTGAATTCTTAATGCATTTTGAAAAAAACCAGTCTCATAAAAAATCAATTAATAACATATCAAATGTTATTACCTTCATCAACCAAGTAAAAACATCGTGGAATGTTTGAAAAGAAACCAGCAAGAAGATGTCAAAACGATGGAAGAAAAAACACATACAGAAGATTAAAAGAATTCTCATAGCGACAATCCAATCAAGGAAAAACATCACCCCCACAAAATCCAAAAAAGACAAGACAAATTTAAGACATTGACGATAAAAGCCCACAATCCACTAAGAAAAAGCAAAAATAAAGTAGTGTGTTAAACTATTCACATCAGGTCCAAGGCACTTCTCAGTGGCCAAGCATCTGCGACAAACCCCCTTTCGAAGCCTGCCATCCTCCCCTCAGGAGCCGCCAAGTGGCAAGTCCACCTAAGCGTGGCGCGACGCCACGTCACGGGCCACGTGTGAGCAACCTGCAGAGCTCTGGGCAGTGTTGTGGAATTGTGTCTTTGCAAACTTTGGCAGCAACGCATTTGGCTTTTTCTCGACGAGGGACTTTTAGCATCTGTTGATTGAAGGAGAGCGAGGGCTTCGCGAAATTTTTGCGAAATTGGTTTGATTCTGCATACAAAGGAGCAGTGCAGTTGGAACTTCTCGTTAGCTCGTCGTAGCGAGAAATTTGACCCGGAGAAACTCTTGTGCGCATTAGTTTCGGTGTTGGATTGGCAGTTTGCGGGGGGGTTTCCAATTCGGGGTGGAAGACTTTGCAGCTCGATTTCAGCGTCGCCTAAGGATCCCTGGAGATTTCCCGGTTCTGTGAGGGTGCTTAAAAGAGTTGTGAGCAAGAGAACCTGCTCTCGTCCAGGTTTGTACTCGTGGCTTCTCTTTCTCTGCTTTACTTATTGAGTTCATTTTTGTTACTGGTTCCGAGATGAATCTTGATGCTGAATCGTGTAGTTGAAGTAACACGTTAGAGACGTTGAGAGCTCAGGTAATTTCTACTTCTGTGATCGGAAATGGATTTTGAGTTTTCGGAGGTCGGGCATCGAACAAATAGAGGCGTGTTTTGAAACTACAGTAGGGGTTCATATTTCTACGTTCAGTATGTGTCACTTGAATACGTTTGCACAGAAATAACCAGCAAGTTCATGTTTTCTGATGAGCCCGTAATTTTCCAGAGTGGAGTTGGAATCAAGTATGTCGCACCACCATACCCCCAGCTACAACGGCTATGATGATGGCACCAATACAGAGAAGACCTCCCATCGCCCCACAGCAGTGCGGCGCGTCATAGCGAAAGTAAAAAATAAATCAGGCATTAGTCACGACACAAAAGAAAACTATGTCAATTATCAAGATGATAAGCCTCACCCGCATCCTATGGTCGAGGATGTTGTCAACACGATAGGCCACTCACTCATTCAGGAACTCATGCAGTACTTAAAAGGTCCTGATGGTGAAGAAGCCCTGGAGATCATCTTCAGTGAACAAGCTCGAGTCGGAGCCCGCCTTGCCATGACTGAGGAATCAAAACGAGCAGCTCGTGTCACAGCACAAGAGGGCATGACAGGGACGTACGATGGTATCGAGCGGAAAATGAAGGAGATGTGGGGCAGTTTGAATCCTTCCCTCATCACTGTTGGTGGAATCCTACTTGGCAGTTACATTTTGCTGCTGTCAGTAGGCATGCTCTTCAGTCTCTGGCGTTTTGCTTTCTTCGGCTTGAAGTAATTTCATTTTCATCACTGGTAGTTGTACCATTTTTTTGGAGGCTCTCTTCGGTAGAGTGCCCAGCAGCTTATCACTTATTACCAACTCTGTTGGCGAAAACTGTCACTCAGAAGAACACAGGACATGATACCTCTCTGCATACATAGGAAAGTTTTTACAGAGACCTGTCCTCTCTAGCAGAACCTAATGGAAGTTATATGAAACAGCGTCAATTTGTTATCCAGTCATATGCAGTTGTAAAATGTACCAAAACAAGAATTATCGTGCTAGCTTGCAGCATTTCTTAGTTTATTAGACTGATGGAGGTTGCTTCACCAGTTGCTATGTGGCAAACTGGATAATCAGAGTGACTACATGTCATTCCAGAGCAAGCTTGTTTTCTTGGACAGTTCCTTCTACTGAGTTCTTAATGACAGTGACATCCTCTGCGGCTTTTTCTTGTCCAAAGTTAAGAGAGGACAGGGCTTCTTCTGCTTTCGTGGTCACAGTCTCTTTAGCATTGTCGAAGCTCTTGGTTACGAGATTTTGGAGGTTGTCTATTTCTTCCAATAATTTCTCCAGTAAATCTTTATCCGACAACTGATCCTCTGCTGTAGCACTCTTTGGCAGCAACATCATTCCTAAGGTGGATAAGGTGGTGAGGAACACATCCCTTGTTGAAAAAGTAGATTTCACAACAGCTCTCTGTTTTACTTCCACCGCTCTCTGCACAGAAACGCATGACCTTGATGAGGGAACACTATCCTCATGCGCACTTCGTCAGATACTTCATGAGATTCTCCATGAAAGTCAAACAAGCCAAAAGGATTTCCACATATGCTTAGACCAGAAGCTGCCATACGTAAGCCATCTGTAGACTAATACCTATAAGCACTCACGTCAATTTCCAGAAATTTTGTTTCTTGTAATGGTGAAAAAATTTGAACCTTACCATATATCCCACAATATTATCTTAAAGCGATTTACATCGCCATTTTAGTTACTAAATACTTTCATCGCAGTTTTTGCTTCCAGATGTCTGTTGAGGTTCAGGTTTTTTCGTCACATGCAACTACAAGTTCTGAGCAAAGAAAGACATCTCGTCAGCAAGGGCTTCGGCCAAGCAACTCACCACATATGCAAACTTTCTTTGCTGTACAGGACGTTCATTTCTGTCACCACGAGGAGCGTTGGATTTACGAATGCCGACACATTTTAGCAACTGAGGGTCACTCATAATGAAATTGACCATTCACTTTGCAAACGAAACATGATGCCAAGTTTTCTAACCTGTGGAGAACTAGCTCTCCGGATGAAGGCCACATTCGCTGGAGATCTCATGCTTGCTGTCTTTTGGAGACGAGGGGAAGCGATTGTGATGGCATCGCAATGGGAGTTGAAAGCGCCACAGAAACTCAATGCCGCCATGACAGCTGATTGAAAAAGCCTCAACAGGAGTTTTCAGGCCCAAAGTACAGAACCTGTGAAACAAAAAAAGTGTAGGAGTGTCCAAAGAGACAGAAACAGGTTCGAAAAGATCAATCGGCAGATAGAATGGACAGATAATTTTTGTGTGCAACATTCAACGATGGAACAATGGACTTTAAACATGCTTAACGTCTCAAAGATCAGAGGTAGCGACTTGGTTTCGAGCATAATGAAACCACAAGGCAAACGACCATATCTTCCGGCTGGTACTCAAATCAAAGCCATACGAATATCCCAAACCCTTGTTGAAATCCTTGAACAGCTAGCTGATGTACTTTCACACGTCCAAAAAAAAAAAAAAAAAAAAAAAAAAAAAAAAAACAAACGTAGAATGTTTAAACATGTGATGTCACAGGTTGATTTAAGGGCGGAAAACTTTGTTTCAGTTATGGGTGGTAAGTGAGATCAAGCGTACTCACAGTAACACTGTAATAATTACCGCTAATAGTGGGTGCTCAGTTATGGGTCTCTTTATTGGAAAAACTCCATCAACCACATTGTTCCAAATCATGCGAACTCAGTTCCTACAGAAATCAACGCTGAAACATACCTCGATCTCCTCTCAAGAGAATCGGAATGCAGCACGGAGGCAACTCAAGGAGAAACAAGGAAAGCCCGCCGACCTAAACCAGATCACAAATACAAAGACGTTAGTGCTGAGGCATCTTGTACGCAGCATCAAGGGCTGTTCGAGGAAAGCATGGGACTCTCATGGAAACTACAGAGGAATCGAGGACGAAGGTTTCCGGCGATGACGGAGTTGGACCTGAATGACAAACGAGAACCATCTCCCGGGCCCTTCGTGAATTGTCCAGGTCACATACTCGACGTGGCTAATTTCCACGTGTGCGGGCATTGCTACAAAGCATTTCCATTTTAGTGCGGAGAGTTTGCGCTTTTGAGCTTTTGTTGGTTCGGGGAGGCTTTGTGGTGATAGTTCTATTGCCGGCCTGTGTTGGTTTCGTTTCCGCAGATTTTGAGTTTGAGTACGCTGAATTGCGAGTATCGTCGTGACGTCTCTCGAATAACCTCTTGGTACAGCAAACTTGCCTTTTTTGTTTCTTACTCCCCGTTCGTTTCCCGTTGCCGAAGTTGGATTCGGCGCGGCCAGGATCTTCGGTGGTTCCGGTAATGTGAGTATGCGTTGGATTGGGTCTTGGGACGTGGGTGTGAATTGGGACTGAGGAGGTTTGTCTAGGGTGTATGACGGATATGGTGGCAACATGTGTTGTGGATTTGTGGAGGTTTGTGGGAAGCCGGGGGCTCTTTGCCTGTCCGAACTTGCTAGAGATGGGATCGTATAGAGGAATGCTAGGAGGATAGAGGAGATACTGATGTGTAGTTCTGACGGGACTGGTTCAGGATAGCTGCAGGTCACATTCAGGTCAAAGAATCGAGCTAAGTACTGTCTTTTCCCGATCGTTTAGGGTTTAAACGTGTTTTTCGCTTTTGATCTGGGATCCTCCACTTTTATGTTTTCGACTTGGAGGACTTTTGAAATCTGGTGTGGCTTGAATTAGCTTTGCGACTCGGAGTTCTAGTAACCCCATCTCGATTTAGGGTTTGATCTTCGAAGGTCTTTATGGCCTTCACATGCAGGCGTGTTTAGTCCTTCGCGGTGTTCCTTGTGTATTGGTTTGCTGAAATCTTGGATGTTGGACTAGAAGACGTTCGGAGGCTTTGTTCTCTTTGTGTGTTGCTTTATCCTGAGCGAACAGAGCCGCCAATTACGGGAAATTCGTAGTGGACATGAACCCTAACAGAAGGCGGTGAGACTACGAGTCATTAATTTTTTTATTTTTATTTTTATTTTTATTTTTCATTTGTGGTCTGACGATCTAGGATTTTCCTGACTGGAGCTCTTGTTTGGAGGACTTTTAAATGTGACATAGAAGTAGTCGTCAAATTATGTTGATGCAGGCGATGGAGCGACCATCACAACTTCAGTATGACAAGAACTGGGATGCAGCCATCGACCTTACATTGAGACGCTTCGTCTATGGTTCTCTCTCAGGGGCTGCAAGTGCATTGCTTCTCTTCAGGAGTCCCACTACACGCTGGGCTGCTGTGGCATTTGGAGCCGGCGCAGGCATAGGATCAGCTTTCACTGACTCATCCAGGCTGTTTCAAAACTCGATTGGGGGCAATTTGCCGTTCATTTCATCACCATCCTCAAGCCCCGCTATTGTTGGCGATGTTCAATCCAGTTCTGTTAATCCAGTTCCGGAGCCACCCAAGCATATCGAGGCGCCCAAGCTTGAGCGTTTTGAGGAGCCTCTTGTTCAAGAAGCCCAGAATTCTTAATTAGGATTTAGGATTAAATTTTAAAGATTGAAGTTTTCTGTCAGGCAATTGTCCTGAGTTATCTCCATGCTAATGCTAAGGTATCTTGATTCGTTGTAAGCAATAAAATTGAGTTCATGAGAGCAGTATGACAGGGAAGCTTTGGTTTACCATCACCAGAAACACGATTACGATTGGTAGTATTTTTTAGGTTGATTTTGAGGATGTTGGTCGAGAGTGTAGTTTTGAATGAACTTTCCTACGACTTAAAGACCCTCTTGTATATCCCGTAATTCCTGTCATCAATTACTTGTTGCCAAGTTATGTCTGGAGTAGAATTATTTGCCATTTTATGGTCATTTCATAGGTCAGTATGCAGTAATCCAACTATGAGAGGTGAGTTCTGAATGATTGCTTTCAGTCAGTAGGCTGTGGGTTTTGGAGTTTCAGATTCTTCTGTGGCGTCACATGACATAACATAGAGCTTGTACTGTGGGTTCTAAGACTGCATCAATACATTGTAGTGACTTGGGTTGAGGGGCCGACGACTTTAAAGTTGACGATTGCAGCTGCACGTCAACTCTGTTGGGTAACTCATCTGTCTTAAACTTGGAGTTAAGCACTGCTCATCATACTCTCTTTAATTATTTAGAAAAGGTTGTCAAGATTGACCCAAACAAGAATCCAGATCACAAGCTGTTGTCAGCAGGAGCGTGGGCATGACCTAGCGGCATTGACTTGTTGATTGCCTTTTTCTCCATGTGGTAGTTTTTAGAAGAGTGTCAAGTGCAGAACTCATAAGCGTGTCACAAATATTGTACATGTTTATTCATGGGGTTTGAACATACAGAGGGCAGCCGCCGCGGCCAAGAACAACTTAACTAGATCCACGAGCCTTCCCAATCGTAGATTATATTGGAACGCGAAGATCTTAGATTAGACATTTTACATAAACATATCTGCTTTCCACAAGTGCATCTGTCAACAGCCTTTGTGAGTGCCAAAGTCTGTTGTTGCAAGTATGCATCTGTTTTATTTGTAGAGAGTGCACATTATTAACACAAACGCTTCGAAAACGAACTCCTGGTTGCTCACAGCAGCCCTTGAGACCAAAGTTTACAAAAAAACACGATGTTATTTTCATACTATCCACCAAATACCTGTCCTTCTGCAAGAGCAACAACTTCAACAATCAGAGTTTGGTAAGTGAACATGAGCTCAGAAGGGGAACTGCAACTTCTCATGATAAGCTGCACGAGACGAGTACCTACATAAGAAAACCAAGCTAGCTTTGGTTTCTCACCTGATGTATTTCGCAAGTCGTTCACTCATAACAGTCTGGAAATGCGAACACCATCATTTGTTCGACATCATCTGATTGTCATTTATGTTACTTTAGTGATACGGTTTGAACACAATCATGTAGAATTTTGAAAACTCAAGTGAACTGCACTTGATCTCTCAGGAGAGCATGGTAGAATCCCTTCATGCATGCCAGGTCCAGAATTGAATTCCAACCTGGTGCTCTATCCAAGCTATCCGGAATTAGTCTTTTTGACACGCTAAACATTTACGTAGTTAGCGCTGACAGGGGTGGAAGTATCAAGGTATTTAAGAAGATGTGAAGCAAACGAACGGTTGCATCCATGAACTGATGCTGAGACGAAACGACCTTGCATTAGAATTTGGGTTGAAGCTTGTTCCATACCTTCGTGCAGCTCAGGGAGCTCTGAGCACAGAGCTGGACCACAATTTTTTTCCATTGGTCCAGAAGTCGGGGAAGGTACCTCATAACTGCTTACCTTCACAAACTTCACAAACTCAACATTTTCCTTCACTGATTGGATGAAGGCTTTGCGTTCAGCCAGATTGTGGGCGTCCTTCGAGATTCGGAGGACGTACCTCATACGGTCCTCCTTAGTTCGAAGCCCCCGAAGCTTATCGTTGAGGAATGGCGGTAGCTGATCAGTTGCAGGGAATTTTTTGTGGACACACTCCTGCCCAATGTAATGAAACACCAGATCAGCGACGCACTTGGCATCTTCTTCGGTGGGGATCTTCCCGAACCAGATTTTGTCACTGTTTCCCCACGCACGAGGGCGTATATTAACAGTCCACGTCTTCGTTGATCGGCGGGGGCACAGAATGCCCCCAGACGGCCGACTTCGACGCCGGTAATAAGGCCTTCGAATTGGCTCCACCGCTGCATCGGGTGCAGGTCTGCGTCTAGATGCAGTGGCAGCACGTTGTTTCTCCTGCTTAGAAACAGACCTCGGCTTTGCATTCTTTTGAATAATGAAATTGTTTTGCTTGACCTCGCCCCTTCAAATTGATTACACTCGTCAGCAACGCAAGATCATACTAGCATGTGAATTGATAGTTTACACCCACCGGTTTCTAAATAATTTTCACGGTTGTTTCGCTGTATAACCGTTGACTTCTACAAAGCAAACTGAGATGTATACTATCATGCATACATTCTAGAAAGTATAAAGGGAAAACTTACGGCGCAGAGCACCGAACGAGAGCCTTCAGTCGTTCCTCCAGCGGAGAAGATATCTCTCGCATAACTGGCGCCAGGTTTTAATCCGTCCTTGGTCTTTAACCCACTAACGCTGGTTAAAATTGTGCACTGAGCGAAAACAGCGACTATCTACTAGAAACACCTAACTAAAGTTACAATTGTGCACAAGAAAGTGTCGAAACCTCTATCGGATTCGGTACGATTTCCACTTGCTCGATCTCCTACACTTACAGATGGGCTGCGCAGACCCTCTGACAACAGCGCATTTTCTCATAATTATTGGATATCTTTCCATCCGCAATTTCTCAACGCGCATCATTGGTCCTCTTTACCAAGCAATACGCTGTCCTCGCGATATCTTTCAGCCTGCAACTTCACTACTGCGGAACTTCATATGATCAATCGGTTGCCACTCATGACTTGACCAGTTGAACCAATTACGCATCCCATCGCACCTACTTGCGAGAACGACAGCGAAGAGAAAACAAGACTGTTTTTTTTCTCAAAGCAGGCTGAAGTTTTTGTTATATAAGCCTCTGGCGCGCCGTAAGTCAGACTTTAGCTCCAGAAGAATATGTGTGGGGCTCCATTTCATGAGAAATTCTGCATTATATCTGCAAACCGCTGATGTAAAAGCGCAAAAATAGCAAAAATCTGGTGAGGTAATTCCACGGTCAAAGGTGACAGACCTTTATTGCGAGCAGTTCATTTGACAAACACGTCATGGAGGTGCTTACGATTGGGCGGCCAAGTTTCACAAATATTGTTTTGGGGGTGATTTTCAGGGACTTTTCAACCGATCCAGTCGGCAGGGCGGAGATTCCTATTAAAATTTGTTCTTAAAATCCCCCTTGACTGCGGCATGAATCAGGCAAAGTTCTTGGTAATGAAACTCCGTCCTGCTTCCGTCCCCCAGACTCGAGTCTAGTTTTATTTTATTAATGGTCTAGCTAGCCTTGAGTGCGAGATGGCGAGCAAATTCCGAAAATTTTATGTTTAAAAAGATGAACTCAAGATTAATGGTGGCAGGGAAACAGAAATGCTTGAAGTGTTACCGAGATCGTGCTCATGACATGATGTAAGGTACCACGATGTTAGTAACATTGAACGCATATTAAAATAAATAAATTGTCGATAGTATACTCGCAAACAGTTGAAGGATATCCACAAAGCAATGACACAATGTGAGACACGTGCATAAATTCCGCCACGCGAGTCCCTGAAATGATGCAGTCCAGGTGAAAGCTTCTGGAGTCGGAGAAATTTTCAAACACCGCAACCTGACGACACGGTGGCGTCGACAGGTGTGATATACCAGTTAATTACAGTTGAAAATGTTCCCTCCAACTATTTGTAACTGTAAATGGTGGGTGAGATGCTAACATGGGCTTTTCAATCTTGCTGTAGCTCACTCGGGCAGTTTATCTAAAACCATATTGTCCGAAATCAACCATTCGGAGCGTGCAGAGGATAGAGTCCTCGAGATGATCCACACGCTTCTGCACTGCCTTGGGTTTGAGCAAACCCTAAAACCTGCGCATATGGGCAATGAAGGCGTCGCAGAGACGGAGATGAAAACAAAACGAACCAGCGCAACCTCAACCGACCCACAAAATACATGTAATCAGAAGGGGGTCGCAAGCATCTGCCTCCCAAGTCTGCAATTTCGTCGTCTACGTACAGGAAGGCGAGCAGAAGGGGGTTGGGAAAGCCCCTCTTGTCTTCCACATCCGGCAAATAACGTCAAATCGGGCTGTCTCCGCCTTCAATGCCTTCGCATCTTTCCTCATCCATAGTTCCACACTGCAAAATGATAGTAAAATTTGGTGGTGTATTGCAAATTCCTGCCGACTTTCCGTTGTTCCCAAGGCCCCCGAATCGTGCCAATTCAGTTATTCCTGCTTGTGGATTCGAAACAATTGGGTGCGAGGAGTTTACGTAGAAGTCCAAGTTTTGAAATGTGTGCCAAAAATGAAGGGATGTCTGCAAGAGGATATAATTTCTGCAGGTAGTATTGTTACTTGGAATTTTTGATATTTTATTTGTTTATTTATGTATAAAAATAGAAAGTAAAGGATCGTTGTCAACCATGTGAAGACAAAGATTTATTATAACAGATAAGAATTATTTAAGTTTTATTACAGATATTTTGTAGTTATTTTTGGAGATGCCAAGTTTTCAAAGAATTAAATTAAAATATTTATATTTTATTATATTATTTTAAGAATCAAAATCAAGTTAGTTGGTTTTGGATATTCTTAGTTGGATAATTAGTTATACTTTGAAATTTATATGGTAGGTGAATGATTATATACATATATATATATATATATATATATAATATAAAACAGCTTAGGGAGACAAACCAACTTGATAAACAAGATAAGATAAAAACCAACTTTGATTGGCTTCATTTTTCATTGTTTTCATCAAAAGTGAAGAAAAATTTGAGTTTACAAAGCCTTAATAAAACTAGGTTAACATTTATCATATCAAAAGATTATGCACAAATACATGATATTGAGAATAATGCAAGTTCAAAGCACAATCTTATGTATGAGGTTATAGCATTGAAGTTACATTATGCATCGATCCAATTGATTAATTATAATTTTTCAATTATAAGTTTTATAGAAGAAGCATATTGATGATTAAGAATGGATTCGAGATGCACAATCAAAAAAATAAAAATTGAAGCCCATCCACAATTGGAGGTTATAATTGTGGCTACAAGCTAGGATTATATGTAACTAAGGAATCAAATCCTGGTTAGTATTTTAGAAGGATACAATGATACCACTATATTAGTTGTGCCTTAGAAAGACATATTATTGTATCTTTTTGTCCACCATCAAAAAATAGTACATCTTCTCTACATCACCATGCATAAATCTCTTATAAATCCTCTTTGTACATGTTGCTGCGAACAGACCATATTATGAACAATTCAACTACAATTTTTTTATTCTTGCTCTTTTTAATAGAATCGATTCTATCAAATGCACAATCTCAGCAATGTTTTGAGGCTTCTTCTTGATTTCTATCCCTTCCTAACCTCACCAATGGACTCCAATCAAAGGTGCATTATCTTCTAGGGATGTGTTTCTTATCATTAAAAGCAATTCACAAATCTCTCATAAATAAAAATAGCTAAACAAGTCAAGTAATCAAAGTTGATGCTTAAAGCAACCACTATTGTGGAAAGAAAATTTTCTGTAAAAAAAACATAGAGCTTTTAGCTACTAAAAATTATTTTACTTTCTAATAAAAACTTTCAAAAAAATACACAATACTCAATAAATCTCAAATTTTTTACAAATATCTTTATTCAATAAATCCATATATTCAAAATTTATAAAACTAACACAAGAAAAAAAAAAAAAAAAAAAAAAAACCTTCTTTGAGAGCCTTAATATTTTTTTTCAAAGAAAATTCTTTTTTTTAAAAAAAATCCTAAATTCTATTCAATTTTTAAATTCTAAATCTTAAATTCTAATTCGAATCCTAAATCTTACTTCTGAATTCTAAATCATACATCCTACTTTTAAACCTTAAATTCTAAATTTTATTTTACTCAAAGTTTGTGATTTTTTAAAAAAATAAAAATTTGGATTGAAGATTCCAAAGGATTGATGCCATCACACTTTAATCATTAATAACTTATAGCTCCTTCCTATTTAGGAGAAGTAATATACCAATCTATCAAAATATATATATATATATATATATAAGGCATAGGTTTCATACATCATATTATTATTAAGAAAGATTCTTTACTTCTATTCATAGGCAATAAGTGCTTTTGTTATCCAACATAATCTTCTAATACAAGAATTGTGGAGCTAGCTCTTTAGATATCTTTAATTCATAATTTAATAATTTTTAAAAATTATTCTTTCTCCCTTCATTCATATTCTACTATAGAGGTTTGAATCTGAAATCTTTTAGGTACCTTATCTAAGTGCCTTATCATCCATCCATCTCTACAAGCTCCAAGCTACCACTTAATTTTCAAAGCTTCAACTCTTCTTCTTATAGTTATTATGGACATCTAATAAGAAGATTCTAAAAATATTTTAAAAATATTCTTTAAGATTTTAAAAGGTTTTAGTAGATTTATAGAATATTCTAATAGAAGGTTTATAAAATATTCTTAAAAATATTTTTAGAATAATCTAAAAGATTTTAGGAGGTTTTTAAAATATTTTAAAAGATTCTAAAAAATTCTAAGAAGATTAAAAAAGTTATCTAGGAAGGATTTTAAGGTTGTTTTATTTCCAAAAAACATGAATTTTTTTTAAAAATCTTCTTAATACCTAATATATATTGGAGTCAAAACTAAAAGAATCTTTAATCTTGGTAATACATTCTTTAGAATTCTACCTCATCTCTCTTGTTATTGATTTTATACTCATCTAATTTAATCAAGTTCATGTTAGCTTTTTTGTTAAAACTCTCTTATTCTTTTTTTTGTTAAAACTTTTTATTCAATCTTTTATATAGTATATCTATGATAGTTTGTGAAGACTGCCCTCTTATTAATATTAGAGTTTGATCTTTCTTCATAGATAGTAAATTATTTTTCTTCTTGAAGGCATCTAAGCACTTTAGAGATTGTTGATTATCTTAGTCTAAACTGATATTCTTTTTAAAAAATCTTTCTTTTCTTTCAAGATAATTGAAGGTAAAGATGTTAATATGATTGAGTCTATTGGGTCAAAATAAGATATTATTTTAAATAAATTGAATGCTTTATTTCATAAAATTGCTAAAATTAAGGAATTTATTGTAATATTTCATGGTGATGTAAATTTTGGAGCAATTTAGTTTGTCATGCAATTACTTTTTTAAGCTTCTATATGCAAGGAAGTAGTGGCATTTATACCTCAATAAGGAAATTTACCTATTCAATAGCATATAGAGCCTCAAATTAATCTTTCAAAAAATTTGATTGTAAATGCTTTACGTTTCAAGGATTTATTAATCAAAATTGATTGATAATTTTTCTAAAACTTAAGTACTATTCAACAATGAAATTGTAAGTTGATTTAGTTAGAATCTTATTAAAAAGACAAGTCTTATCTTGATTTTTTCATTTATTTGAAAAAAAATCATCAAACTTGAACAATTTTGAAGCTTTTTTAGAAGTATTTGTAAAGACATTTGAAGAACACAACAAAGCCTAATAGGTGACAATAAAGATTTAATCATTGCATCAAAGGTCACATTTCACATTAATTTATGCATATGATTTTAAGCAATTGGCTTATAACATAAATTTAGAAGAAGAATCTCTTATAAGCTAATTCTATTTCAAACTAAAGGATGATGTAAAAGGCCTATTATTATTTTTATTATTATTATTACATAATCTTTAAAAATTCAATGAAGCTATTAGCCAAGTTATGAAGTGCAATAATTAATCATTTCTATAGTCTCAAGATTAATACTGATGGACTTTGACAAAGCAATGCACTTAAAATTTATACTAAGTTGCTGTAACAAATATATTACTTCTATATTC